CCCCAAAACCCCAAAACCCCAAAACCCCTTATAAAGAGGTGTAGCTTGAAGAGTATACGAATAATATTTAATAAATATGAAATCCCAAAAACTCCAAAATATGAACGATAAAATTTATGTTAACCAGGAGACGCTTCCATTTATCAGAAGTCAGACACTACTAAAGCACAGAGGAGGTTTGAAGATGAAAGTAAAACAAAGAAGTTCTTGCACAAAGCTCAGATATATATTTGAGAAGGCTCATGAGGACTCATCTGTTTCAGAAGAACATCTGCTTAAGGAACGACAAAAGGTCTTCATGAGAGTTCACGAAATAATTAAAAAGAAATTATCAAGTGGCTCTTTGAAGCACTCTAAAGGGTTCCAATCTCCTAGGAGATTAAGAAGAGTACTGAGAAGTCCTCAATTCAGACCAAAAGAGTATGTTTTAACCGATAAATTGCATTCACTATTTTATTAATAAGTAGCTTGTTTTAGAGCATAAATTTCTAAAACTTTTTAGGATTAAGAGCAACTTACCAGTCCTTGAATCAAACAAAGAGAGTAGGCAATTCTTCTCCCCACAAAGATTTTCCCAAGTAAAGCTGACAAACCATGTGTCATAGACTCCGAGAAATATGCTTAACTCAACTAACTTATAAAAATTACGCTAAAGTTTCCCCTGGTTTATGAAAAGCATTCATTTTCTTTAAAATAAAAAAAGTTCTTTATAGATGTCCTCTCAAGTTAGATTCTTGTTTAGATAGTTTTAGAATATTTCAGGTAAATTATAGTGACTGCGTAGCACTTATTATGGCTTAGGAAAGCACAGCGTCAATCTCTAGCTCAGATGTTTAGATCTTAAACACTAAGTCTCAGTTATAATACCATCAATATCTTGGTCTTTGCCAGAATTTTCCAGTTTGTGCTCTACAAACTTAATAAATTTAATAATATGAAAAACACAGCTGGAATTTAGGAAGTAAGCATGCCTTCTTTTTGTATGACACTTAGGTTTATTTCAGCTCTAAATCTGTATGAATACCAGTACAAAATGTCCAAGCTCAAGACGGATCGTTTCCTGGGCCATGGCTATCGTTCATAGGTGCTATTATACAATAATTGGTAGACAACATATTCTGGTTTAATATACTGTTCACATGACAATAATTTGTAAATGTTGAGAGTTCCTTCAGAAGTACTCACAAACTGGGATTGATGTAAACCTGATTAGGTTATTATATGAAAGTTTAGAATATAATATAAGTTTGAATCATCTGAAGAAATCCGAAAATTCAGATTCTCGGTGAAAAGCATTCATGAAAACTATTGATAACTACTTCTAGAAGAATTGTTTTCTCAAGCTACATTAAGGGTTATATAGAGGCTTTAAAAATCAATTCGGCATGAATAGGATATAGTATATATGCAATTAGTTATTAATTAAGCTTATTGTCTTCTCAAAAATTTATGGTACGGTAAGATTAGGACAATAATCGACATTTTGAGGCCATAGTACCATAAACATCTTGGCTTCCAAGTCCCTCCTTTTTTCTATCTCAGAAGACTTTGGTGAGGCATTCAGCACGACTAATGACTAACTGCACATATTTATATGCTACTTATACCGATTCAGTTCTAAATCCTCTATACAATTAGAAGAGAATTCTGACCCGATAGGTACTAAATTCTTTGAGAATTTAACAGTACAGACTAGATGGAGGAATGAAAAAAGCAGAATTTTGTCACCCGAGAGATTCAGTATTGATTCTGAATAGTTTCTGTAGATCTGCAAGCAAATTTTTGCTAAATAGAGCTTTAGGTCTGTATTCTTAGCTGAGGTCAACCACATTTATTCAGATTATGGTTTAGCTTGGGAAGTAGAAGTTCAGAAGTTTTAATCATGCTTGAAGCTCTCAGCCTCAAAAAATATTCGATGTTTTGTGAATAATTATTAGTTTAAAATTTATTTCATCATTTAGCGTGTCTATGAAGATATCTAACTTGGTTATGAATCTTTTATTTGATCTTGAAGACCTTCTTGACTCCTTTTCTCAGCTTTACAGAGGGGGACAGAGGTATTTTACTAGTTCTGAAGATGATGCTCTTCTTAGGAGTCATCTCGACACTTTCTTCAACTCAATCGAAGGGATCAGCCATTACTTTCTGGAAATTTTCCAATTCATTATGAGAAAAACAACTTTGAAGTTCTTTTTGCCGTGACAATTGCTTGATTTGAGCGTTTGTAAATTTGGAGGTCTCTTCTGACCAACGAAGTTTGTTGAGCCTCTCTGAGAATACTGGGGAGTATGACCGAAGATGAGGGCTATGATAAGCCTTGAAGAAATTCCCCAAGCGAGGATTATTAGCATTCTTGATAGACTTTGTCTTTGGTCTGACAAAATTATTCATAGGTCTCTTCAATTGATTATCACTTATCTTTAATTTATTTCCTTATGTCTGGTCTTGCTGTCTTTGAAGATTGAGCTGGCCTATCTGGTTTAACGAAACATTACTGAAGGACTTCTTTTGGGATTCCTAGGACACAGTTTGAAGGAAGCGATACCATACTTTGTATGTCAGTTATACTTTCTGGGGAAGCATTACTTGTGTGCACTTTAGATAGTTTTACTTTTATAAGCTCTCTTTTTAGATGTCTGATCTGACTGATAAGTTGTTTGTAGAGATTAGTAAATCTAGACTCTACCCTACCCTGAGGTTTTGAGCTGTGAGGTTCATTATCAGCCTCTTGATCACTGATAAGGTCTTTCTTCAGGTAATCCAGGAGTTCATGGCAGTCACAAATGACTTCTTTTTGGCTATATAGATAGCTAACCATGCTTACTTGTGGTTTGACCACAGTTTTGCTTCTTCAAGCTCGGTTTCTAACTGAGTTATTTTATTTTTAAGTGTTTTATTTTCGATTTTTAGGTCTTTTAGCTGAGAATCGATTGATTTCTTTTCTTTCAGTTTAACTTTCACTTGGTTTTTGTAGTAGTTCATATCAAGAATGCTTAAATTTAAGCCTAAACGGAGGTTGAAGTCAAAATATTCCTTCAGGGAAAGCTTACTGAGGTTGAGTTTCTGGATCCTCTTATTTATTCGCATCATCTTCGTTCTTGAGCCGGATAGCATCTTTGTTAGCATTCGATAGGTTCTTGGTGAGTTCTTGGACTCGCCTATTTGACATGATTTCTTCTTCTTTTTCCTCTATTTTCCTGAGAAGAAACTGTATTTTACTTTCTCTGTCTTCAAACTCTTCAAATGTTTTATTTCCAGCTATGGCTTGAATAGAAGCTTACAGATAGCTAGAAGAAGTCAGAAGATATATTTGAGGCAATTTTTATACTTTAGAATAAAATTTTGGCGTAGGAAGATATCGAAGAGAATTTATGGGTTATGTACGGTGCTTTGCAATTTTTAGTTTGATATTTCTTGAATGAATGTTGAAGTTGGAGCTGCACTTACTTATATTCTTTCTGATGAGAGGCTAATAAATGGCTATTTAAGTCTCACATTCTCTTCTTCTACCTTGGTTTTGAAAGTATCAATGATGCTATTAGATAATTTTCTGCACTATTTGTCAGTTATTTCCCCAAATTTCAAGTTGGAATCAATTAAATGCTGCTAATAAAGTGTTTTTTTGTTACATATCAATTATTCCCAAACCCCTTTTATTACGCTACCCAACCAGCACAGATCGTACATTAGAAATTTCTTTGGAGATCTTTTTAGGGTCCATATTACCCTTTTATACTTAAGATTCTTAACAATTATTTTATTTCACAAAGGGGTTTTGGGGTTTTGGGGTTTTGGGGG